GTGACCCTATTGGTATTTGAAATATTGGTGCCATAGCTTCCAGCCTCAGGGCAATAGAAAGAAACACACTCTTTGAATCCTAGGAGGCTGTTCCATCTCCAGAGGCCAAGGTCCTACCCTTTGAGGCTGAGGCAGCTCTGCTTCTAGTTTCCTTGGTCTCTCAGCTCCTGCCAATTAATGCCTGAAGGCAACCCATTCTATCAGGAATCTTCTTGCCCAAAAGCCACTCAGCTTTCTTGCTCTGTGGTTTGGTAAGCCTGTCGCTGTCTCATGCTGGTCTCTTGGCTCTGCTGCTGCCATCTTTCTGCCAGTGTCTCTCTGCTGGTGTTTCTCTGTGGTGGTCTCAGTGCAGGGATCTCAGGTCAAGGATGCACTCCACGCCTCTTTCCACATTTTAGGTATCTGTCAGAGCAGCACCCCACTCTCTCGGTGCCAAATTCTATTTTGGTCCTCCAGTGCTACTCTAAGAGAAAATACAAGTGGGTGGCTTCAACAAACAGGAATTCATTTTCTTACAGTTTAGGAGGCTAGAAGTCTGAGTTCAAAGTGATAGCTCTAGGGGCTAGGTGAAAGCCCCTCAACCTTGTGCTTCAGCTCTGCCTCTTGCTCCTGGCCCACTGAAGCTGGAGGCTTCTTTTAACTCAGACAGCTACTGACTGCTGAGGCTGACAAATCCAAGTTTGACAAGTAAAATGGCTTAGTCCCCAAAGTATCAAGCAACGTGGCAGACCACCAATTCAAGTGTATTAACAGTCCCAAGATTAGCAGACAATATGGCAGGCCACTGAGATGAAGACTTGGCCAAATGCAGGATCAAGATGTGCCAAAAAGTTCAAGACCTTCCTCAAAGCTCCTTCTTATGTACTGGAAGCAGACCACATCCCCAAGGTAGCTACTCATCTGCTCACAGTAGATTCCACCCATGGAGTTGATTACCAGTCTTATCATGAGGAATAACTACATCCAGCTGCTCAGCCAACCAAACCAGGCCCAGCAAAGTTGACATACAACTTTACCACACCTTGCTCGTCTGGTAACCTTCAAAGAACAATTCTTCTGTGTTTTTCTTAACTTTTTACAATAGTGGTCTCATACAATAATTGTCCTTTTGACTAATTTTACTCAACACAATGTCCTCTAGGTTCATCCATGTTAATGAGGTATTTTGCAGCTTCATCATTATTACGCAATGTTGCATAATATTCTATTGTGTGTATGTATCATAGTTTGTTTACCCATTCATCCGTTGATGGGCACTTAGGTTGCTTCTTTTTGCTATTGTGAATAATGCTATGATGAACATGGGTGTGCGTATATCTGTTCGTGTCATGGTTCTTATTTCTTTAGGATATGTACCTAGTAGTAGGATTGCCAGATCATGTGGTATTTCTATTTCCAACTTCTTAAGGAAGTGCTGTACCACTTTCCACAGTGGTTGTACCACTTTACAATCCCACCAACAGTGTATGAGTGTCCCAGTCTCTCCACACCCTCATCAGCATTTGTTGTAGCCTGTTTTGTTTTTTTTTTTAAACTTTGCTGTTAATGCTGGAGTGAGATGATATCTACTGTTGTTTTGATTTGCATTTCTCTAATAGCTAATGATGTTGAGCATTTCTTCATGTATTTGTTAGCTGCCTGAGTATCTTCTTTGGTGAAGTGTTTGTTCATATCCTCTGTCCATTTTTTTAGTTAGATTAGGAGAAGCATTTTTTCTTATTTGTTTGGGCCTGTTAAGTTTGAGATGCCTCATCCACATAGGATGTTTAGAAGGCCCCTGCATATATGAGTCTAAAGTTCAGAAAAGGCATCCATGCTGGAGATACTAATTTGGGAGCCTTCAGTGTGTCTTTAAGGTTTTGAAGTTGAAAAAATCATTAAAGGTGTGAGTGTAGACAGGAAAGAAAAGAGATCCAAGGACTGAGGCCTGGGGCACTCTTAACATTTTGAGTTCAGGGAGATGAAAAGGAACCAGAAGAAGGAAACCAGAAAAGAGAAGCCAGAGAGGTAGGAGGACAACCAGGAAAAAGATGGTGTCCTGGAGGCCCAACAAAGACAGGTCATGAAGGTGGAAGTGGGAAGGGCAGCTAAGCTGTGGCATGAGATGGGCACATCTACCCTCCATCTCTCTCTCTCTACATGCTCACACACACACACACACACAACACCCCCAACATGAAATCACATCCATGCCCTTGTGTTTAACCACAGAGGAAGGGGGAGTCTGCAGACTTTGACTAGACAGACTCCAGCAGAGATGCTACTTGGATGAGCTAAAGCTGTGTGTCTCATCTTGTGGTCCTATCTCCCTCACCCCATCTGTGATTCCTACAGGGCAAGACCGTCACCTGTTTCTGGGGGGAAAAAAAAATTCAAGCAGCAAGGTCTCCATCTGCTTGCTACCCTCTAGCAAGCTGTTATTGATTGAGTGCTCAGATCATTAGGTCCTGAGTAGAAAGCAGCAGCTGCACTGATATCACCCACAGGGCAGTTCTCCCATGAGGCCTGCCTGCCATTCTGAGCCATTGTTTCCATGCTTCAAACAAGGTTTCATGCTTTAAATAACCCCATTATTTCACACATCATATAAACATCTATCAAGTTCTCAGAATTATACTGAAGGCAGAGCCTACATCATGTGATTTATATCAGGTATCTTGAAATATCTACATTGTCATGCAGTTTAGGAATCTCCACATATAACTTGGATGTATTTTCTCTTCCCCTCCTTTCCCTTTCCTTCTCCTTTTTCTTCTCTCTCTTTTCCCTGGGGCTTTCATTCAGAACTTACATCAGTGGTTCTCAAGCTTGGCTGTATGTTGGAATCCCCTGGAGAGTTTAAAAAAAAAAAAAAAAAAAGATGCCTCAATCCTATTCCCAGAGATTCTGATTTTAATTGGTTTTGGGTGTAAACTGGGCCTTGGAATTTTTAAAAGTTCCTCAGATGATTCTAATATGCAGTGAAGTTTGAGAACCAGTCCTTTAGATTACCTACTCAATGGCGAATCCAAGGCTCCCAACTGATTCACTCCACTTCATCCCCCTGCTGAGAATTTGCATTTCCACTTTAAATATACTGAATCATAATCTACATTTTAACAAGAACTCCAGCAGGGGGTTGAACCGGAATGAACTGGTGAAAGCCCCAGGTGAATCCCAATGGAGAATTATGGGGGAAAATCTAGGTTCCTTTCCCAAAAGACATGTTTCCCTCAAAGAGCTGCACAGCTTAGAAGTAACCTTCCACCTCCTCTCCTCACCCCACCTGCGATCCATAATTGGCAAGTCCTATATAATAATATGCCCAGGCAAGATCCAAGTCATATTAAATGCTATAAATTTTAGGCCTTTTGAAAAGAAAAATTTACATAAGCTTTTCAGAAAGTAACTTGGTAATATGTCTCAAGAACTTGAAATGTGTCCAGTTCATATCCTTTGATGCAGTTATTTTACTTCCTATCCTAACGAAATATTCAGAGATGTGGTAAAAGATTTATGTATAAAGATGATCACTGAAGTTTTATTTATAATTGTGAAAAATCAGAATAGTACAAGATCCACAATACAGAATGGGGTTACTATATCATGGTACATCATAATATAATAAAACAATGAAATATTATTGTTGTTTGCTGTTGTTGAGTGCTGTCGAATCGGCCCCGACTCATAGCGACCCCTCCTTGGGTTGCCGAGGCAGTATCACTATGGAAGTAGATTGCCCAACCTCCCTTCTGAGGAGTGGCTGATGGGTTTGAACCGCCAGCCTTCTGGTTAGCAGTCAAGTGCCTTAGGCACTATGCAACCAGAGCTCCTATGAAATGTTATACAGATTGTTAAAAAAAAACAGCAACTATATTTTAAAATAATTTTTAATGGTATGAGGCAATGCTTATGTTATAATGCTAAATTGGGGGGAAAAAAGTCAGGGAAATTAAATTGGCAATTTAATCCAATTGTGGGCATATACACCTATTTGTGTAGAAGAAAACACTGGACAGAAATACACTAAAATGTTAGTATTTGGATTGTATGGTTATGATTTCTATTCCTAGTCCCCCACCCCAGACTTTCCAAGTTTGTGTTGCATCTATCATCAAAAAAGGGAAGAAATAAAAGTTTCTTTTTAAAAAATCTGAAAAGAAAGCTTAGTTTCTCGCTTTGGCAGCCAGCTTCTATGAGAGGCTGACCTCAGAAGTGCCCCAGTAGTAACACAACAGTGCATTCCAAACACTTCTGTGCTCCTCATTGCCCTTGAGTCCTGTAGCAGCTTTTACACAGTGAACAAGGGGAGCATTTCAGTCCCTCTCAAGAGAAGGCTGAGGGCTACTATACTTGCTGGGTGACAGAATCTGTTTCACCTAGGAGAATACCTGCCAGGTAAAGGTATATATCATTCATGTTATCCCACAGCATTATGCACTCAGCAGGAGCCTCAGGAATGGAGGAATCTTGCCCAGACATGTGCGAACCTGTCTATTCAGTCAATCTTTGTCATTGTTAGCTGCCAATGAGTCAACCCTGACTCATGTTGACCCCATGCACAACAGGATCATTGTCATCCATCAGGTCTTCACTGGCTGATTTTTGGGAAATAGTTCTCTAGGCATTTCTTCCTAGTCATCTGTTTAAGGTCATAGCAAACACAAGTCTCCAGGGACAAACAGGTGGTGACTGCTTGAGGTGCATTAGCTGGGAATGGAACCTGATTCTCTTACATGGAAGGTGAGAATTCTACCACTGAACCACCACTGCCTCTTCATTCACTCTAGAAGTATTTTATGATGGGTCTTATGGGCCCATTCAAGTAACTCTAGAGCCAGAGTTGTTATATGAACTGGCTAAAGAAGCCGAGTTTGGAATTAAAGCTTGAGGTTCTTCATGGGCGATAGCGCCACCCTGCTAAGAAATTAGTTGGTGGGGCTTTGAGGTCATGGTCTCACTAAAGGTCTCTCTCGCTCTTTCAATCTCCTCCTCCCCTTCCTCTGTCTCTGTTTCTTCAGATGGAGGTGATTGTTGGAGACTTTGGAATTGTGGTGGTGCCCCGGGATGCAGCTGACACAGACCGAATCATGAACCACTCCTCAATACTCCGCAAATACAAAGTGAGTCCTCCATCTCCCTGCTGGGATAGCTCTGTGATGTGACCTTTCTCTGAGAGGCCTGGGAGGCTGAAAGAGTGAGGGAACAAAAGGAGTTTAGTGTGGGGCCTGGCAACCACTCTCTCTGCTCTATCCCCAGAACAACATCATGGTGGTGAAGGATGACATCAACCATCCCATGTCTGTTGTCAGTTCAACCAAGAGCAGGTACGTTTGACAAATGGCCAGAGACACCCTGGCCAAACAGACACACAAGTTTCCATCCAACTTTTCTAAGTCAAATCCAACCCTTAGATTCAGGCCAACACCTATTGCTGCAGTATTCAGCCTCCTATTTGGACCTCATTAATTTGTGTCCAATTATTAATTTTTAAAAGAGGGTAGCCAATATCTAGTTTGAACTGGCTTGAGGGCAAAAGAGGATTTTTCAGTTTTGGATATTTTAGTCTGAAGTGCTTATGAAATACTGTAGGAGCTCTGGTGGTACAGTGGTTAAGACATTCAGCTGCCGACAGAAGGTTGGCAGTTCAAACCCACCAGCTACTTCAAGGGAGAAAAATGCTTCTGTAAAGATTTGCAACCTTGGAAAGCCTGTGGGGCACTTCTACCTTATCCTATGGGGTCACTCTGAGTCAGAATTGACTCGATGGCAGTGGATTAGTTTTGGTATGGAATACTGTATTAGTAAAGGTACAGGCTAAGCTGGCATTACAAAAATACTCCAATATCCAGAGTTTTTAAAAAGACAGATGTTTATTTCCCTCTCAACTCAACAGCAACAGTTTGGTTTATTTTTTCTTTACTGAATAGTCAAAAGGAATTGGCATCTCTGGCTTCTTCAACATGAAGCTTCTATCTCTGTGTCTGCAGTGTTTGCTATGACTGTTGTTCTCAGCCAGAGGAAAAGAGCAAAGAAAAACACATGGCAAGAAGATTTGTCTGTAAGAAGATAAACCAAAGTTCCACATATCATTGGCTCAACCTCATTTGCATGGCCATATCTAGCTTCAGTGGAGGCTGGGAAATAGACATTATAGCTAGAGAACCATATACGCAGTTGAAACACAGGAGGTTCTGTTACTAAATGGAAGAAGGAGAGAATGGATACTAGGGGTCAATTAATAGTTTCCATCATAAACCCCAAGCAGAAACTTCTAGTAGAATGGTGAAATATATGGAATATAGAGATTTTAATGGGTAAAATTGAGAGCCATGAGCATATAAATGTAAATTAAAGTGACAGATGTGAATGAACTATGGAAGAGTCAACAAGAAGAGAAAGTCATTGAGAACATCAGCATTTAGAAGATGACTAAGGAGCAGTCAGACACTACTAGCAATGGTGGTCCAAAAATCAAAGTAGGAGTAGGTCTACTGTCTCATGAAGAGACAGAGATGGAGAACATTGTCATCTGTGTCACATATTTCAGAAAAAACAAATGAGCTCAGGACTCGTGAGTTCTTTGGACTTCTTCCCTGGAAGGCAATTATGGTTGCACTTGCAAGAGTAGCATCAAGTAGGAGGGAAGACAGAAACTCAATGACGATGAGTAGAAAAGGGAAGGTTGTAGCTCCAAGCATAGCTGCTAATGAGAATCACCATGAAAACTTAGACTAAAATAAAAATACTTGTGTTTCATTGAGTCCTACTAAATTGAGATCTCTGGGGGTTGTACCCTAGAGATCTCCTTCCTAGGTGAAGTTGGGATTGGAATTTGGAGATGCATGTACATTTTTGAGAAGCTTTACTATGACAGGGAGGCATTTAGGGACCTAGCTTGCACAATCAGGACAGTGTATGCAATGAAAAGACAGTGACAGTCTCCCAGGATCTCATAGGACAGGGCTCAGGTGACTTTTGTAATATAAATACCTTGAAGAGTATATGAATTTTTGAAAATAACTCCTCAGGGCCAATGGCACTTAAGGTTGTGTGTCAACTTGGCTGGGCTGTGGTTTGAGTGCTCGGCAGCTGAATGTAGTTATTCCCCGTGAGGAGACTATAATCACCTTCATGGTGAAATCTGCTGTGAGCAGCTAAGTAGTTGCTTTGGGGTGTGGCCTTGGTTCCACCATATGTGGAGAAGCTTTGAGAAAGGTCTCTAGCTTTTGGCATGTTTGGATCCTCCATTTCTCTGAGTCTTCATTTCCAGTTCCTGGACTTGAACTAGTGGCTTGCTGTGTTGCCTACCAATCTTGGGATTGTGCCATTTTACCTGCTGACCTTGGGTTCATCAGACTCAGCAGCCAGCAGCTGCCTGAGTTAGGAGATGCCTTGGGAAGGAAGATGGTGTTGTACAGATAGTCTGCGTGTTCAGTCCCTCTTCCAACTGAGATTCGGAGTAACTAGGTAAATGAGATACAAATAATGATAGTGGAGTTATGACCAACTAAGGAGAAGATAAAGTATTAAATCCAGTGAAGGGGAAAAAAGGGAGCAGGTTAAATGACTGGGAAAAATAGGCAGGCCCGCCCAGCCAGTGGAGATGGAAAAGTCATTACAAATACAAAAGAGGTTGAGGAGGAGGGAAGGAAAGGGAAAAAAAAAAAAAAAAAAACCCACCATATTATGGAACCCATAGGCACTGGGGACTCAGAATAACCACACCAGAAGTTTTTTGAAGTGAGCTGGGACATTGTGTGGGAACGAAGATCTTACTGGGAAACAGATAAAGGCCCCCCTTGGCTTGGGCTGCTGTGGAGTCCAGAAGGAAGTGGTGGAAAGGGAGGAGAAGCTCCCTCTGAGTAAGTGGAGGCCCAGAGCAGGTGCATGGCAGTGAGCTTGCATCCAATTCTTGGAAACCCTTTTTGACACAGAGTGGATCTGTGTACTGGGATTTTGCAGCTTGTCAATCCACACAGAAAGGAGTGGCTGTTTTCCTTTGGGGCAACTGCCGGGCTTGAACTGTGGGACCTTGATTGATAGCTGGATGTCATCATCAGCAGATGGCCCCAGAAGGACCCAGTCTGCCTTGTCCATTGCTGTCTGAATTATCTTGCCCCAAATGTAGAAAACTACTTCTGCCTTTCATCCTGGGGTTTACTTCTGGAATCTTTTTTTTTTTTTTTTCCCTTTTTCCTTTTCTCCCCTGCCTCATCCAGTAGGAGGAACACATTAAACCTCCACTAGGCAACTATAACTACCTTACCCAATAAACAGGTAACACCAATAGCTCTTGTGCCACAAGATCAACAACAGACAGTGGACAACACCTGCTCATCTCAGCTCCAGATCTTCTTCACAATGAACAGAGATTCCATCAGCACAGAGAGAGCTGAAGAATGACCCAGTACAGCCAACTTAATAACCAAAGAGTATACCTGCTCCACACTTCCAAATATAGGGTGAAACAAATCCATACATAACTAAAAATTAAAAACAATGGAACTATCTGAGAAGTTCAGAAGGTATATATGTGTGTGTGTGTGTGTGTGTGTGTATATATATATATATATATATATATATGTATATGTGTATATATATATAGGACCCTCCAAGAGCTCAAATAAACCATAAACAGAAACAATGAGAAGTCAGACAGTACCCTGGAGGAATTCAGGAAAATCATTCAAGAACAAAATAACAAGATAAATACACAATTAGAACTCATACAAAAACAGAAATTAGAAATCCAGAAAATGAACACTAAAATTACAAAGCAGTGGAAGGACAAAAGAGTAGACTAGAACTGGCTGAAAAATGTATTTCCTAGCCAGAAGACAAATCCCTTGATGCTAGCCTATATGAACAAAAATCAGAACAAAGATTTAAGAGAAATGAAGAGAACCTAAGAGTTACATGAGATGACATGAAAAGAAACAACATACACCTGATTGGAATACCAGAACAAGAGGAGGGGGAAAAAAAAAACACTGAGATTATCGAAGACTTGCTAACAGAAAATATCCCCCGTATCATGAGGGAATAAAAGATATCCATCCAAGCTCAACTAACCCTATACAGGATAGATCCCAAGAGAAAGTCACCAAGACATATCATAATCAAACTTTCCAAAATCAATGACAAAGAAAGAATCTTGGGAGCAGCTTGGGAAAAAGGAAATGTCACCTACATTGGACAACCAGTGAGACTAAGTTCTGATTTCTCAGCAGAAACCATATAGGCAAGAAGGCAATGGGATGGCATATATAAAACACTGAAGGAAAAGAATTGCCAACCAAGAATCCTATATCCAGCCAAACTGTCCCTCAAATATGAGGGTGAAATCAAGACATTCTCAGACAAACAGAAATTAAGGGAATTTGTGAAAACCAGGCCGACCCTATAACAAGTACTAAAGGGAGTCCTTCCAATAGAGAACCCACAACAAAGAACAACAAATTAAAATCAGGACCCTTGACATCAACACTTAAAAACCAAATCAGAAATAGATGCTCAAAATACACTCATAAAACGTATGCAAAGAAACGAGAGTCAATCTGCAATGACACCAGCAACAAAGCAAATAGAGGGAATAAAAGTTTCAATTACAAGACTTCCCAATGGAGAAGAAGGCAGGACCATGTCTTTATAGAACACTGTTCCAATCTTAGGGAGATAAGAATTTACTTCAGGGTAACCACAAAGGAAATTAACAATCCTTCTAAGCAAACTCAGAAAGAAGAAAAACACAAGGGCTTAGTGAGTTAGGAGACAACTTCAGCTCCTGTGAACAAGAGGCAGGACTGAAGCCAAAAGTCAAAGAGTCTTCACCCAGCCCCTAGAGCCAGCACTCTGAATTTGGACTTTCATCCTCCTAAACTGTAAAAGAATAAGTTCCTGTTTGTTACAGCCATCCGTCCGTGGTACTTCTGTTAGAGCAGCACTAGTGAACTAAGACAGGGTCTGACATACTCAGGACTATTACATGAGTGGGAGCTCTGGTGGCGTAGTGCCTAAGGCATTTGACTGCTATCCAGGAAGTTGGCGGTTCAAACCCACAAGCCACTCCTCGGAAGGAAGGTTGGGCAATCTACTTCTGTAGAGAGACCGCCTGAGAAACTCAAGGAGGGGTCGCTATGAGTCAGATCTGACTCGACAGCAATGGATTTATTACATGAGTAGACAAGAGGAAGTAGCCAGGCCAAGGCTGGAATAAAATATTGCAGAAGCCAAAGCTTGCAGTCCTTCATACTTTTCTACACCTTCCTTCCGTGGATCCCCAGACCTCACAGCTGAGGGCTCCTATAGGAAGGAAAATAGTCAATCATAAGAACTCCAGTGAGACTCATGTTCATTTCCCATCATGAAACCATTATGGAGAGGAGCCCAAAGGAATGAAATCATAATAGCTAACCTTACATTAAAATGTCTACTGTGTTTTTGGTGTTCCCCTAAGTGCTTTGAATAATGACTAATTTAATATTTCTAATAAATGAATGAGATAGGCACAAATATCCTCATTTTACAGAGGAGATCAGAGGGGCTTAAATAACTTAACTTGCCTTAGGTCCCTTAGATAGGAAGTGACAGAGCTAGGATGAAATGATGCCACTGGGGTGGGGAAGGAATTGTGGGGGCAAAAAAGCTGTCCTAACATGAACACCATTAACTAACCTAAGGTAAGACTGGTAATGGGATGCTGGGGAGACACAAGTCTGCTGGTTTATCCCTCTCCCTGAAGTAGTGTGAGCAGGTGAGTCCTCCTGACTTACTTAAGAGATGCCCATCTGAACTATTGTTTCTTTTGTCCAGGCTGGCCCTGCAGCATGGGGATGGCCATGTTGTGGATTACCTGTCCCAGCCCGTCATCGACTACATCCTCAAGAGCCAGCTGTATATCAATGCCTCTGGCTAGCGGCCACACAGCCCTCTGCTCCACTCTCCCCACGTCCTCTGCCAACACATTGGCCCCTCCAGTCTGTCAGTCCCTCTGTTTCGCTCCTGCCTCTCTGTTTCTCCATCTTCTCATCTTGACTGTTCTCTCCACTTGCTGACTTAACCTCCACAGTGTGGGGGACCTGCAGAGAACCATAGCATACCCTATTCCACAGTCATCTTTGGACAAACTTTCCTCTAGTCTCCGGGTTGGGGTGGGTGAGGGAATAAGGGTGGGAGTTGGGGAAAGAACAGTCCTTTGGAGATGTACTGGTGTCCGTCTCCCAGCATGCTCTAGAGAGGCGGCTCTGGTGCCCATCCTCCCAGCATGCTCTGGGGAGGCGGCTCAGGCACTCGCCTTCCCAGCATGCCCTTTACCACAAAGGGCTATTTTTCTTTTTCTTTGTTCCCACTTCTCCTAGAACTTGGATGAAATCAGTGTCCATGGTTCTTTATGTTGTCATCTTGATGCACTTCTGTGGTATTACTTCCCCTTTGATATGCTACCATAGCCAGCCTCAGCACTCAATAATGGGTGAGGATCATACCCAATAAAGAGGACCCAGACACCTCTGCTCTCCTAGTGTGTGCATGTGCACGCACGCACACACACACACACACACACACAGCCTTTGGCTAGGAGTGAGACCTTCAGGATCTGAAACTTGGGAGGCAACTCTGGGAATAGTAAGGTTTCTCAGAAGAATTTGAATCCATCTCCTTAGTTCCAGAAGACCATTTTCCTAATGCTCTGGACTTACACTCACAGAAAGCCACCCCATCCTCATTTCTTAAGCCTCTTCCTGGTGATATGTGCACATTTACTTATTTAGGCTATGGCTGATGGGCAGAGTATGGGTTCCTCGCCAACCCAGACATTTCCAAGGAACTTTGGAAATCACCAGTTTAAGCCCTTGGGGGGCCATACTTAGGCATATTCTTGCATCTAAGAAGAATCACATCTGCAAGGCCAAATTCTGATAATGCAGTCATTCCTTAATAAAACATGCTAGGAATTCACTCAACATTAGAGATCTCTGGTAATGGAGATTATTTATTGCCCACTTGGCTGGGAAATTTCTTTGTCATAATTTAAACCCAGGATGATCTGGGAGAAAACAATTTGTTGTTCTGTAAAGGCTTAATGATTCTCACCCACTCTCACTGAGATCACACAGGCAGCACCCAAAGCTGATTCTTGTGAAGCAGAGCCTTGGCCTTGTTTCTGGGGACTGGGTCATATCTCCTGTGGGACCTGGGAGAGTCTGGTAGCCACAGTAACCACCTGATGAGATCAGCCTGACAAGGGAGTGAGTTCACAGAAGAAAGATCTTGGGATGGTCAGAAGCCTCTAAACCATGTGGATTTAGCTTTTTCATCCCTGTTCTCCCTGATTTTCCATCTTCCTCTGCTGCCTCTAGAAACACAATTTTAACAGGCCCTGTTCTGGTGGCTCACATTTGAGCCTAAGATATTTGATTGCTAACAAGAAGGCTGGTGGTTCAAATTCACCAGCCACTCCTCAGAAGGAAGATTGGGCAATCTACTTCTGTAGAGATACCACTTCGGAAACCCAAGGAGGGGTTGCTATGAGTTGGATCCAACTTGACGGCAGTGAGTTTGATTTGAGTTTGAGAGTTCTGGTTGCTAATGCCTCACTCATACCCTGCTTGGAGAGCCCCAAATTACTCTCTTGGAGTCTGTTTCTCTCATCGAGTCTCTGGTTACTGGGTTTCTGGTCATCTGTGAGAAATAGTCTCCAAGCAGTAGGATAGATTTTATAAAAATCTAGGAGCAATTATGGCCCACGAGGGAGAGGCTGGGACCTGACATCTTCCTCATCACACATTGTCACCTCTGCAGCATGCTTTGATAGCCTCCAGAGAAAGGAACTCAATTCAACAGAGGAGCATCATGGAGTAGCTGGGGGGTGTTATTCCTCTTGAATTGTGGAAATAATCTCCACAGAAAGAAGGAAAGATCCTATTCTTGGATCTCAGTGTTTGGCCAAGGATTGTAGACTCATAAAACAGGAAAAACAGAGCCCTGTTGACCCAACATTCTCCTTTAAAATATGAGGAAGCAGAGATCCACAGCATAAAAGACTGGTCCAAGGTCACACAGCAAGTGTAGAATCTGGCAAGATGATATTGCTTCCTGGACCTTTAGACTATTGCACCACATGGTCTCTCTCCTTCCAGTTCTCTGTGATACTGATAAGGTACTGTGTTGTTTCTACCCTTCCCAAACGTTTACCTGGCATTTTCCTCTTATATTTTGTCTGTTGCAGGCGCTTCCACACTTAGCATTGTGCATATCAGTCCCAGGGGAGGATGTGATGGTGAGGGTGGAAGCTAGGTTTCCCTTAGAAATCAAGAGATCTATCAAAAGTTTGTAGGAAATCTCAGAAATTTATCCTCTGAAGCCAAGAAAAGATTGCTTTGTGGAAGGCTAAGAAGGACCAGAGAGTGTGCAGGATGATACTGTTGCTGGGGAAAGAAAGATGGAAGAAACTTTGTTTGGGAAAAAGAACCATAAGGTAAAAAATGAAAGAAAACAGGGAGCTAGTTTTCCCGGGGGAAATGTGGTGCTTGCAGGGACAGGGGAGTTTGTAGATAGATGTCAAAGGCCAGGGGTGAAGATCCATTTGAGCATACTCAAGAGAGACCAGATTTCTTTTGTCTTGTAGGTCCATGCTTACTGGGCTAGACTGTGGCCAAGCCCATTTGGTCCACAACCCATGAGAAAGAACTGGGCTGACTCTGCTTACTCAACATGGGTGCAGGAAAGCTTGTGAGATCAGAGGGTGAGATACATTAAGGAAAGAAGCAGGGCAATAGAAGAAGTAGATTTCTAGAATGACTGGGGCAGATCTTAACTTGGTGAATCACAGGGATCATGTCAAAAATAGCTTTCTTTTAATATAAGGAAAAGCCAACCTCTTGTTCTTTTAGACTCATCAATTTCACACCCAGCCCCATTCCTTGTTTTCTTGGGGGAGGTCAGAGCAACTTTCTCTCTTCAGGGGAGGATCTCATGGCTATGATCCAGGGTCAGCCAATACCAGAGAAATGATTCACAGCTGAAGTGGTAACCCAGGTGCCAACAGGATGACCTCTAGGACCTGACTTTTCCTCTGGGGTCCTGCTCCTTCCTACAAAGGCCAACCCAAAGCTAGCATGGCTAGGAGAGCATGAGAAAGGCCCATGCTGGAATGAGAGTGCCAAAAAAAGTCTGGAGCCTCATTTTCTGCCTACTACTGAAAAATGTCCCTCTCATTTTTTTTCTGAAAATGATTGATATACATAAGAACAAGCAGGAGGGAAACCCATTGCGTTGATGACTCTCACCCCAAGTAATGCTCCTCTATGAGTCTGTGCTGCTAGGGGGCACTTCAGTCACCCCCTAGACAGCGTCTGGAGCCCTCTTGCTTTCATTTTCCTTGAATGTACATACGAACAAAGGAGGAATGTCTCTTACTGAAGTGCCTGAAACCCAGAGCTAGAGCTTCTAGAGACGCCATTCTTCCTGTCTCAGCTTTGCCAGCCTTTCCCCAACATTCTCAAGTCTCACACTCCAGCTTCTCAGAAAGAATAGAAACTTCCTGTTCAAATTAAGCAGAAAGCGAGACAATAATCAAACTACAGCGAGAGGCAAAGAATTACAGGTGAAATGACTTGTACTTTAACAACCCAAGTCCACTCTCCCAATCTGATAGACACACACACACTTTTAGGGGACTAAGAGAGAGAAGCATGTAATTATATTTTATTCATCAAAAGAGTCATGCAAAAATAAATTAATGGAATATGAAAAGCTCAGGATCTCTCCCCAAAGTATTGCAGTAGGGCCGACGTGAGATGGGAAGGGTGGAAACGGGGGCCGATTATGTAGCTCATCCAGTTAGGACGGCATGTTTCGGAATAGTATTGTGGTAATGATGACTATGCTGTCACATTCATCCAGTTTGCACCTTCCTATAGCTGCCCAGTAAACTCATTTCTTCATGTGGTTTCTTTGTAGTGTGAGTTTGAAGTGTCTTATTAAACTGTTCTGGTTAGTTAGAAATGAGTTATGGCTCCTTCCCTTCTCCTTTAAGTCCAGGGCCCAGAGCTCAGCTTGATTCAAATGGTCTTGAGTGTTGGCAGGTGGGGGGAGGGGAGCTTTTTATGACTTTTAGTCACTGAATTTGCCATTTTAAGAGTAAGATTTGCTTTATGAAGTCAGTTCATTAAAAGTTACATTCAAGTTGCAACATAATTTCACAGTGAAATATTTTGAGTAAAATTTTGTTGCTAGAATAGTCATGGACAAGAGTTTTATCAGCAAAATGTTTCAATTATGTTAATAAAACAATGCTACTTGAGTCTCGTGTCATGGTCTAGAACCTTCTCTGCAAGTTGCAGAATCAATTATTTTTTCTTTATAGTCTTGCTTGACAGGAGCCAACAGTTGTAAAAATGTACTTGGAACAGAAGGTTTTCCGTTGACACTACATGAGTAATATATAAGTAAATACAGCCCACCTGAGGATTATCAGCAGGGAGGAATAATAAGCAAATCTGAAAATCCTGGCTAAGTTGTCAGTTTTAAAAAATAGAATCTTAGATCTCACCTAATTTGTCTAATACTGTGTTGGTTAACTTTGGCTTCTTGATGAAGTTAGTAATTTATGAAATAAAAATATATTTGTGGAACTTAAAAACTTGAATAACTTAACTTATTGGCATGAAATACCTTAACTGTGACAGCAATTTTTAAACCTACAATTTGCTTTGGAAGTGTAAACAAACAAAAATGAATTCTCTGTTAATTGTTCAAGTTTGCTGTTACTACTATTTCATCTTTAGTTGTAACATATATTCTATATTGGGTTAGGTCTATATTGGGGTGGTCATTAGCCAATACCAGCCATGATTCAGAAGGTGAAATAACAATTCTCCCATTAGACTACCTAATTTAAGGATTAGTTACTTGGTT